ACTTGAAAAATCTGAGCCGGCAAAGAAATTTGATTTTGGGGTGAATGCATGATGAACGGTGATTGTGAACCAACTCCATTAAAACAAGGCGTAGCAACATCGTAGATGTTTTGCTGTGAAGTCCGTAGCGGCCTGTACTCTGCCTAGAAATTTGAAGAAAAAAAATAAATTTTAAGCAGGCATTTTACAAAAATCACTTTATTATCTCAACACTATTCCCAGAGCACAAAGAAAAACGTCTGGAAAAATTGAAAATAGAAGAATTAGAACGGGAGTAAAGACAAAGTTAGACCTAAGAACAAGATAATAAAAATTAAGAGAAGCCAGGAACTTATAAAAAATAAAGAACACAAGACCTTAAAAGAGGATCGCATTGCAGATAGAGGAAATCGTATAAAGTCTTGTTGTATTCTATCGTTTGGTATCTAAATATCAGTGGAAGCAACGAAAATAAAGTGTAGTACGACTAAATTCGTGCTCTCATTGGAAAAACCACTGTTAAACTATGATTTGGCTTGCTTTATTACCAAAAAAGCATAGAAAAACTAGAACATATTTGTTAAGCTCACCAACCATCAACCCTGTTCACAAAGCGAGAAAAAGAGTAACTTTCAAAAGAATTTCTACAATAGCCCTTTAGTCTTTGAGAACAGAATAGGTGTTTTTGTAAAAAGCAATAGTTACCAAAAGCGTTTTAAGTAGATGTGAGCTAAGGGAAGCGTTGTCTGATGTTTATTAAAATTACTTAAAAGGAATTAAATATTTTACTTTTCTGATAAGATTACGACAACGACGTTATATTTTTTGCAACGTTGTATAATAAGCCGACTAGAAGAAAGTGGGCATGAAATAAAAAACATATACATAGAAGAAGACCACAAATATAAAGATTTGTGAGCTCATTAGCTTACTGCTATATAGTTCCAACTACAGAAGTCTTGTATGTGTTGACTTTCCACATTGTTGAACTTATCAAAAGTTAAAAATTGACATACTTGAATAGAAGAGTTATCATTGTATAGTTGAAAAGCACTATTACGTCGAGTACCAGTCGTAGATACGATCATTACAGTTAGAGTTAACGCAACCACGATCAACGTTTTCGACGTCCAGGCGTTCCTTAATTTCTTTAGTCTAGATAAACGAGTCTTCTACCAAAATTAACATGATAGCACCTAAGAAAAAATGAAAAATCTATTTCAAATGACAACAAAAACTTTGCGCTCATTGTAAGCATAATGCTGCGAAGAATCAGCAACTGATATTATCCAGGAAGCAACCAAATGTAGAAACTGGTAAATAGAACTTATCTGCAGTAAAAGACTAGAGAGCGATCTCAGACTAGCCTCGGGCCAATGTTCAACCATAGCGCTTCAGGCGATTGCCGGTGTAGCTTTTGCCCAATCGATCTTTGGTTTCCTGTCGTCACTTGGCTGTAACGAAATCAGTTTCTGTAACTTGCACAGTCTCCTGTAATAAATATTTGTGTCAGAAATAAGTGCTTCTGTCTGAATCGGTTTCGTCTGAAATACGTGTGGTGCAGCAGTGCTGCAAAGAATCTAGCTACAAGTCAGGAAGGCAGTAAAATAAACCCCGCAAATGATAAAGTTTTTTCAAAACAGTCAGCAGCAATTTGTCTACGTCTGTCCTAAACTTCTGTTTCTAAATTTTTGTACAACTTCTTTTCAATTACTTCTACTTTTTGATCTAAATATTCTCAAATTGTAAAGTGCTTATCATATTACTCATCAGTTTTGAAACTGATTACACAGATGCTGAAAGATAGTTTAGAAAAAACAATTTCTAATCGTGCTTGTATTTGAAAACTTGTAAAAAAATTTTTTTCAAGCTGATGAGGACTTTTACTTTATAATTTGTCACAAATTATTTAAATTTATTCTGTTGGTCAAAAGTTTTTAAGAGAAACTGTAAGTTAAAAAGACAATTTACGGCATCAATATTAGTAAATTATTTGCTGAATCACAGCTGGTTAACAAAAAAATTAAAATTTTTTCAGTAATAACAAAAAAGGAAGAATTTTTAACGTTTTTTTGTTTACGTTATCACCTTTTCATTTCTAAATAAGTGCGTTTCTAAAAACTATTCAGAGGGTTTAAGCTAAAGTGATCTGACAGTGAGCGAGCGAGGTAAAGTTTGAAGTAACAAACTGTATGATTTTAAACTTCTTATTTTCAAAGCGACTTTTGATTCTGTACCTTACTTTTAACTCTACAGATTTCTGTAAAAAATTAAAACTTCTAGCTTCACTTTCTGTGTAGTAAGAACCTTCATAGATTTTTTGAAAATACACCTCTGCAGCTGAACATTTTTCTTTCATTGTCAAAATGGTAACTTTTAATGTCGTTAGATTATTCGTCTAATAAAACGAAGTTCTTTGAGTAATTATCCCATTTTTCTTCCTCTGGAGGTATTAAATTATTTTCTTAAAGCATGTCACAGATTTCATTATTGCAAACTGACAAGTAATTGTGGTACGACGAAATTGGTGTAGTAAAAGAATTATCAAAAAGTGTATTGGTTTATAATTAATGAAATTCCATATGACATATCGTACAAAAAACTCGCTATATCAATTATTTTATTATATATAATTATAATTAATTGTTTTAGGAGAAATTTGGATAAATCGTTACTGATGCGACAAAAGTGTTGCAAATAATACAGAGTTTAGAAAAGCGCCTCTCCATCGACAGTTGCAAGTAGTCGAGTAATTAAAGATGCATATTTCGCTGACTAATTTATGTATTAAGAGCAGGTTTCAACACACAGTCTATATCATTTTAGCCTGATTACTAAACTATTTATTTTCAAATAAAAAGAATTTTTGATTAAAGTTTGAGCAGTGATCTAAGTCAAAAGTTATTAGTTCAAAATAATAATCAAAATTTACTGAATTGGTAATGCTGTTGAAGAACAAGTTGTGCAGTTAAAATAATGCAGTCTTAAGTTCTAAATAAAATTGATATTTCTTGATGCTGCTGTATTATTGGTGTGTTTACAAATAATACTAATAGGTTGGTTATTGTAGATTTGAGATTGTATTTAATTCCAACTTTCCAGACATTGTTCAGTTGCACAACCAATTGGCCTTAAATTTTTTTTGTCATCAGATTTTTTTAATCATTTATTCGTTCATGGCTACCTACCATATGTTCAGCATACAGTTTTAAAGTGACAAAATAAATCTCATTTTTTTCTTTCTTTGTTTTAATGTCGAATTTCGAGAACAGTGGTTTTTAATTTTGTACAACTATACTGGCAGTGCAATAAATTACAGGTCATAAGCGCTTTATTACCTCATATTCTTTTTTAAAAAATTGTTCTTTACATGGAAGATCTTGTCGGCTAAACTTTACAACAGTTACTTTTTTTAAGACTACTTTATGAAATCTGCTTCTGTTTTTTTATTTTTCAAAAAATATTGGGTAATGGATGTATTTGTTCATACTTGAAGTAAATTTAGCGGCTTAGTGATAGAATAATCTAGTGTAATAACTAAAAAAATTTTGCTTTATCAATGTTTTACTTCTCCTGCAGTTTAGCAGTTCTGGTATTGATAAATCTTTATACAGTACTATCACCGGTTTTCTAAAAAGAATAAAACAAAACAGGTAGTGAAGAAGACACTTGTTTTTATCAATAAACAATAAATGTCATAACTATAATTAAAAACTTAAAGTTTTTACAATAATGATTAGCAGAAAATGTTGAAAACAAGTAAAGTTTTTCTCTATTTGACAAATATTTGTTTCTGTTTGTAAGTATTTTTCTTCAAATATTAGGGTTATTTGAATTCTAAGTTGTTTAACAGTTTAATAGTTTTTTCTGCAATTGCTAGCATTTCTAAACCTTTTTCTATTACTTAAAGCCTTTTTCCTGTGTTTTCGTATGGCAATTACCAGAAAAACTGTGTTTATTTGCAGTAAAGAAAAAAATTTTTTGGTTGAACATGCAAACAAACAAATAATCTGATAATTTCGCCGGACTAACTATACAGCAAAATTATTCAGTTGCATTGGTCGAAGTGATTTTCGATAGGTGACGTAACAGACTCTATTTTTTTTTATACGGGCGACTGTATGCAAGTGTAATTGTTCATTTAAAATATATAAAAATAAGAGAAGAAAGTTAGTAAATTTAACATTGAAAGAACAAAATTATTGAAAAAAAATGCTTTATTGACATCCGGAAGAATAGTTGTCACACTTATTTTTTTTTTTTTTCGTAGAGATAAAGTAAAACAAAATCAGTTTTGCAGACAACTGCTTAGCTATGTGGAAATACAACTGTTTGATTAAGGCACATAAAAATAAAAATAAAATATTTCAAAAAATTAGTTAGTTGATTAGTTTATTGAAAGAAATTATTGATCTGTACACAATCATTTAATGATAAGTATAAACCGAGATAGAATTTTTTCCAAAAATATTAGCTCTTAATTGGTCAGCTGCGGGTATCAGTTGCTTAAGTTTTGAAAAAGTGCAACTAGTGACTTGTTGAAACGCAAAATGTGTGTGATGAATTAAGTTTCTTGTCAAAGTGTGCTGTGGTAGAATGACTCGTCAAAGCACTACTTTTTTTTGCACTGTCACTTGTGGAGAGTGATTTGTGTCAATAAACAAAAAAATTTACAGCATCACTGTTGAAAGCTGCAGTATCCGAAGCATTTTCATAGAATTCTTGAAGCAATTCCGGGTTATTGGTATAAAATAATATTACTCTTAAACTAAGCACTTACGTATTCATCACTAAATGTTGAAATAAACAACAATACAAGAAAGATGACAGAGTTAATTTTCTTTTTACTGAAGATCAACTTACATTTATATTAGACATAAATAAGAATAAGTCATGAAGACAACTTGTTGGCTTGCTAACTTTGACTGGCAATTGCAGTAACTGAACAACAAACAGACTACAGTTAAACGACTAAATAATTAAATGAGAAATTTCGTTGATTAGTTATTCTTTTTACTTCATACTCTACAAATATGTCATATTTTTCTGCGTTTTCCAACACAATTTTTAAATTAATCTTTTTAGATGATACAACTGACAGTTACCAAAAAAACTCTTTAGAAAGTCATAGAGGAAATTTAAACAGTTGAAGAGGTACGTGAAACTGATATCAAAATGCCAATAAAACAAATTACAAAATCTATTTATTTAAAACATTTATTTTTAGCTGCTAAATTCAAAAGTAGTAACGACGATTCAAAGAAGCATCGAAAACATCTGAAAAGGTTTGATATCTAAAAAATTTAGTAAAAAGAAGAAAACAGACTTCTTGTAAAAGAAGCCTGTTCTCTTCTTCTGTATGTATGTATGTAAAAAAAAATGACGAAATAATTTTTTTTAGTTTTGACCTTCAGAACAGTCTGGCTAAGAAGACAGCTCAGCGGCTGTTACGCTGTTAGAAAGTAGAATGCGGTGCCCTAAGAAGAAAACCCTTAAGACGTGTTGTCAAGAAAGAAGCTATATTTCAAAATTACTTGAACACTTCCTCAATCTATTAAGAAATGATGAGTATGCGTAGTGTAAGTGAGCAACTTTTG